GCTGGGGGTGGTGGGGGGCATGCAGAGGAAAGCATGAAGGATTGAGACCCATATTCAATGGGATTAGACTTTGGTGAACTTGGCACTACATTCAATATTGGGGGAAATAAGAAAAAGACAGGCACTGGATTAGGTTAACTTGCCTTATTGTAATAGCCTCCAGGCAGATCTCCCCGTCTCACTCCAAATTGTAAGCCATCCTCCACACTGAAGCCAGAATAATCTTTTTAAATGCCACTTTCCTTATGTCGGGCACCTTCTCACAACTGCCAGCGGGATAGAGGGCAGACTCCTTGCGGTGTGTGCGCGTGGTGTATTGTGTGCGCGTGGTGTACGGTGTGTGCACAAATGTGTGGGTGTGGGGTGCAGATGGACAAAGGGGTGGTGAGAGCATCGTGCTTTTTAAATTTTCTGAAATTTTGCTGGTCAAGCACTCACAGTACCTTCAACTACCATGGGAGTTATGTACATTCCTTGCGCTGAGGAGTAAGATCTATGACTTATAAGCTCCGGGTATAATTTAAAATGAGCATATCTATCATTACCCCTCAAATACTAATAACATCGCACAGGCTTTGCACATCCAGTGTGATCTCACTGAGCCTCGCCTTAGTCAGCTTGGTTTCAGGGCCATCCTCTGGCCCCACCTGAGCTAGCCAGTCTTCAGTACTGACACTGAGTCCCCATGTCCTTGTGGGTCACAGGGCTCCAGCACCTCATGGAAGCCTGAGGCCCATTTGTGAGTGGTGGCTCCCCACTGAGCCCCCTTTCCTTAGGCCAGCCCCCCATGTCTGCATTCACTCTGCTCACCCCATGCTCTGGCTCCTGCTCACCTCCACACCTCCTCCCCTCCCCTTAGATCCCACACGTCCCCAAAGCCCCGACACAATAAATGTGGCTGTGCCTCTTTTTACAGACTTACTAGGGTTCGGCNGCCTCCTCCCCTCCCCCTAGATCCCACACGTCCCGAAAGCCCCACACAATAAATGTGGCTGTGCCTCTTTTTACAGACTTACTAGGGTTCGGCTCCTGCGTAATGAAGTGGGTACTGTTATCGTTCTCACTTTGCAGATGAGGAAACCGAGGAAGGGGGTGAAGCAACGGGACTGGGGACAGTGTGCGCCGAACCCACGGGGACCCTCTTACACTCGGCACGGGCCCGCGTCGGCCTGCACTGCGCACCTGCTCTGCATCTCCTGAGGTGTCCTGCACTTGTAAATACTTTATTTCTGTGTCTTTATTTTTTCTCTACAACTAGAATTTAGATTCTGGTTGGAGGACCTGGAAGATTTTTCTTGTGGACAAGAAAAAAAGAATTAGGCCCCGGCCGGGTAACTCGGTTAGAGCGCCGTCCTGATACACCAAGGTTTCGGGTTCGAGGCCTCCTCAGGGCGCACACAAGAGGCAGCCAGTGAACGCAGAAATAAGTGGAACAACAAATCCATGTTCCTCTCTACCCCCTGTCTCTCTCTCTCTCAAAATCAATAAGGAAAATTTTTAAAAAATAAAAGGAAAAAATGAATTAGGTGTATACAGAAGGTGTTTAATAGCCTTACTCTAAGGACACGTCATTCGGGAGAACACATCCTTGCATTTGTGCCTGGCCACGTCCTCAAGAACCTGTGGGTGCGTCACCAGTAATGACAGTGGCTTCCCTCTTGGTCTTGGCACCCAAAAGACCTCCCATGCCACTGGGTCCCCCTGCCCTCCGGGAAGTATGTGGTCGCTACCACGATTGTCCCTCATAACATCCACAGCACGTGGAATGGGATGGTCCCCTTCATGCTGCTTCTGAGCAAATGTGGGCCAAAGGGCCTCGTTCAAAGGCCCACACAGACAACCTGGTGTGTGAGGCACAGCCCTCAGCCCTCAGCCCTCAGCCCTCAGCCCTGCAGCCTGTCTCCCGTGGCGAGGTAAAAATCGCCTCGCACAGAAACGTTCCTTTAGCTTCTTCAAAGGGCTTTCATGTCACCGCGCTCCTTTCATGTGCACAGAGCCCTGTCCTGTCAAGTCCGCATTATAATTTCCCAGCAGAGTCAATGTCTTGTCCACAGTTTCCCGAGGAAGCCACGGCTGAGCCAGGACCAGAATCCGGCCCTTCCCTGGACCCCCGCCCACTGCCCAGCCCTGTCCCCCTGNCCCTTCCCTGAACCCCTGCCCACTGCCCAGCCCTGTCCCCCTGTCATTAATGTTCTGGCCCCACTGTAGCCCAGTGAAGTAGCCCGTTCTCCTCACTCGCTCCCTGGGCGTGAGGGGGAAAATGAAACTTGAACCCCTTCAGGTTTTATCTGAAAGCCTTGCTAATCCAGCTGCATCTGTGAGATAACAGCTAAACCTCCCCCAGCCAAGGATTCCCTTCCCATCTGGTCAGCCAGGCACATTAGAGGCAGCCTGGGGGAGGTGAGTGTGGGAGGCCGGGTCTCTCTGAGAACAGAGGTGCTCAGATGTCCAGACCCTGAGGTCCACCCTCAGATGGGAGGGGGGAGGGGAGCCCAAGGTCTGTGGTTACATCCAGCAGCTCCTCAGCCAAGGTCTTTTAAATGACAGCCTGATCCTTAAAAGCTCCTCATTCATTCAATAAATATTTATTAGGCACATACTGTGTGCCAAGTAGTGTGTTAGACAATATAAAATGACTTTGGGTGACATGGAAACGTCCTCCCTGACTTCTGTTATAACAGTGGTAGGATGTAATCAGGTGACAAACAAATCAGACGCCAGCGAAACTTCCACCTGGAGCTAACATGGTTTGGCCCCTGATCTATACACCCACATCAAGGATTCAGGGAACATCCACTGAGGCCAGAGGTCCCCCCAACCCTGGCCCTTGGATTATGGGGGTCATTGCTCCAAAGTGCAGGTATGCAGTTGCCTGGTTCCCTGGGAGCGAGGGAAGGGAAGCATTTCAGAGTCTTGACTTCTGTTGGATTGCTGGTGGTGTCACAGCAGTTTATAAGTGGAGGGATCATATCTGATGGAACAGAGCTTCTCCCATGTGGTTTTTATTTCTATTGAACTCGCTGTGACTTTTCTTCTGAGGGCACTTTGGAAGTCATCAGTCAATAGTCGAAGTTNCAGTCGAAGTTTGGTCGGCCCTATTTGTCCCAGCAGCAGTTACCTCTCAGAGCACCGGAGCATCCCCTCCGACAACCAGAGTTAGCCCTGGCCTCATCTTTCCCTCAGATGAGGACACCTCTGCTGGGGACACCTTCCTCCGTTAAAGTGCTACCGGAGTAGGATCCCTAGTCCTGGATGGACCACACAGCTGAGGCTCTGGATCATTAAAAAAGCAATAAGGAAACATGTGGTTTTTTATTTTTCTTCTCAGAACTAGTGAAGTCATAAATGCAGATCAGGAACTGAAGTGGAAATGGTGTTTTTGAAATAAGGACCTTCCAAATAGCTGGGCTGTTTGCTGCTGTAGCCGGAGCCACTGAGAAAAGAAAATCACTATGTGCCGTTTGTTCATCCACAGGAGGCTACAGGAGGTGGCTCCAGTGCATTCTTTCCTAAGGGCACTCTAACCAGCAGGGACCAGGAGCCGAGTCCCAGCCCTGCCCTGGCCAGACTCCGACCTCAGACTTCCATGTCTCTAGGACAGATGCCCAGGAGTGCAATCACTGGGCCGCATGGTAAAGGTATGTTTAGTTTGCTAGGACGCTGCCAGACTTTTTGAGAGTGGCTGTACCAGCTGACATTCCCACCAGCGGCGCACGAGTGACCCAGTTCCCCTGCATCTCACCAGCATCTGGTGTTGTCACTATTTTTTTCCCTTCGCCGTTCTGGTTGGTGTGTAGTGATATCTCATTGTGGTTTCATTTGCATTTCCTCAATGGTTAACGCTATTTATCTTTTCATGCATCTATTTGCATTTATTAACATCTTTTCATTCAGTGAAATGTCTGTTCATGTATTTTCTAATTGGATAGTTGTGTTTTGTTGTGTTTTACCATTGATTTGGGGGGTTCTTGATAGAGTCTAGAAAATTAGTGTCATGAAATTTGTGGTTTGCAAATATTTTCTCTCTGTCTGAGCCTGACTTTCATCCTGTTCACAGGATCTTTCACAGAATGAATGAGTCAGTCAAATTTATCAATTTTTTCTTTTACGGACTATGCTTTTAGTGTCAAGCCCAAGGACTTTTTCCTAACACTAGGTCCAGAAGATTTTCTTCCATTTTTTTCCTAAAAGTTTTATAGTTTTACATTTTACACGTAAGTCCAGAATTCATCTTGAGTTAATTTTTGCATAATGTGTGAGGATTAAGTTGGTTCATTTTTTTTGTTTATGACTGTTCATTTAGGTGTATTTTTAAAGGTTAATCCTTACAGCAACCTTTTGAAATGAGTACTGTATTATCATCCCATTTTACAGATGGAGACGCCCAGAGAGAGTTGGTGGTGTGACCAGGCCCCACGGTTAATGAGTGGCAGGGGAAAAGCCCAGGTTTGAATGCAGGTTTAACTGACTCATGCTTCGCCCCTCCCACCTGTTATCCGTTTCTCTCCGGGAGGGTCTTACTTCCTGGGCAGAGGTTCCATTTTTCTGCACATTACTTCCTTATGACCAACCTTGCCCTCCCTGTAGTACACAGGCTACTAGAGGCTGGAACCTGCCAGGACTTGTCCAGGTGTCCTGTGACATGTTTGCAGAGTGGAGAATGGGAACAAATTGGGAAATTTCCCTGTATGCAAAGAGTTTGTCATCCAGGTTTGGGGAAAGGCTCACACTGGGTTTCAGCATCTTCCAGAGTGTCACAAAACTGCTTTGCCAGCACACTGGTTTGCATGTAGCAGGTTGAAAAGTTCAGGCTCCCCCAAACAATCCCCCCCCCCCTCTCTCACACACACACACATTAAGTTCAAGTCCAGAAAATTTCCAGTCTTAAGCTGCTAAAATGAAATTTCTTGATTGATGTCAATAGGAAAGAGAGCATCTTGAGGCAAAATTCCTGTGGCCAGAACATGTTTCTTGTCCCTTCTGGTGGGTCTGGGTCATGGTCAGACTATACCCACCTCACTCACTCCCATTCATTCACACCCATTCCCGTTCATGGGTGGGAGTGACAGTTGAAGGTGGAGCCTTCCCCTCCAGCTCGCTCCTCTACTCACTGGCCGTGATCTTCCCAGCCAGGCAGGACCTAGAAACTTTTGCACTCAGACCACTGGAAAGAAATTAGCAGGCTCTAGGTTGATCTTGCTCTTTTCCAAATCCTTAAGCATCACCCACTTATTAAGGAGGGACCTAGGAGTTCTTTGCCTCTGTGACTATACCCTTGGGAAGGTCCCTTCTCCCTACAGCTTCTCCCAGAGCTTGGCCAAGGAATACCAGGCTTTTGTCCTGGCCCGCTTAGGAGAGACGGAGGGAAAGGAATGAGCCCAGGCTAATGGTTCCAGTTGCTATAGGGATGTGTGCCTATCTGTTCTGCTAGATTCTTCAGAAGCCTCAGGGTTGCTTGAACCCACAGCTTGTCTGTTTTAACAGGTGGGCCAAGAGTAACACGCCTGGCAGAGTTCACCTTCTCAGTCTCCGCGCTCACCGCCTGGCAGACCTGATCTCCCTGGCAGCGATGTCCTCTATCATCTTCCAAGCTTCCGAGGGGAGGGGCGGAGGCTGGGGCCAGCCAGGGCAGGCAGGGCTGCCGGAGGAGCAGCAGGTTGTTGTGCCCTTGCCGCAGCCAGAGCAAGCTGGGGCCTCCCTCTGATGCTGTCTTTGGGGTATGCCTCCTGCTCCAGATTCAGGTTCCACCACCTCCACCCTCTTTCAGGGAGCATGACTCTATTCCTCTGCCCCCCCC